TTCAATAATTTTGGAAGATTGTGCTGAGAAGTACATGATTTTATGTAACCGTTATTATAATTTTATATATGTATGCATTTCTGTGTATATATATATATATATATATATATATATTTATTTATTTATTTTTCTTAAAGATTAACAGTCTTTACCATTCAAACCTTTGTTTTTGAAAGAAGTCTCTTCGGCTGCATTTATTTGATCAAAAATACGGTAAAATCAGTAATATTATGAAATATTATTACAAATTAAAATAACTGGTTTCCATTTGAATATATTTTAAAGTGTAATTTATTCCTGTGATCAAAGCTGTATTTTCAGCATCATTACTCAAGTCTTCAGTGTCAGATGACCCTTCAGAAATCACTCTGATATGATGATTTGCTGCTCAAGAAACATGTATTATTATCAATGTTGTAAACAGTAGTGCTGCTTAATACTGTTTTTCCAGGACTCTTGGATGAATAGAAGGTTTAGCAGCTGTGCTGTACAACACACACAGAGACACCGACAGCCGTTTCGAGTTTGAGCTTCTGCAAAGATATTCCACACTAATGAAGATCATGTGTACGAGAGTAAGATCTGGCCTCCTGTCCTTCATTCACTCTCTCATTCTCTTCTCCAAACAGCTGGATACAGGAATGACAAAAACATCCTTCTCTTTTGACTCGCCTTGTTCTCACACTTCTATTATCGCTTCTTTCTAGTTTACTACTCCCCTATTTTCTGATTTCTTGTTCTCCAGCGGACACTTTAAATGTTGGGATGTCCTGCCATGATCCAAGCTCTTTGCATTTGGCAATCGTCCATTCTTTGTGTGCAAAAGCAGGAAATGACACGCACGCCGCTTCTGCCAAGAATGCTGGCACGGGCTTCGTCTTCTGTAGAATAGCACAAACGCTAGACTTTCGGGCAGGTGATGAAGTCATGTTCGCAGAGCATGGAAACCAGAGCCACGGGATAAACAACCAATAAACATCAGCCATTTTGTCCATTTGTGCTGTTTGGACACGTAATGGTCTCTAGAGAGGTGGCTGAAAGGAAATGAAAATGTGATGTCATTTTGGAAACTCCTGAGTTGTGCTGAATCTTTCCCCCGGAGCACTGCTGGTTTCCAAACATCTACATAACAGCTCTTGTAATATCTGCTCCGGAAATTCCCGTTCCCGAATCTAAAACCTGATAGTAGCTCTTGAGTCAGTAGTTTGATGCTCTTGTGCTGATGTTGGGAATGTTTTGGCCTGGAAGAGGAGAGAGAAGGAATGGCGTCCGGGCGTCTGAAGAGTCTCACGGCTTGGTGAAAGAGGTCAGAAAGGTCTCACAACTGCAGGAAATTCTGTATAAGTGGTACAGGCAATGGTAATGACTTGACCGTGGATGAACGTCACACTAAAGATGAAAGTATGCATCAGCTGTCTTGCAAATTCCATCAACAGGACTGTTCGCTTCCAGCGTTGGTGTCAAATTCAGCTCCTGTAGAGTTTAGCTCCAAACACGGCTTGGCATCCGCTTTTTTGCTCACCAGTTACTGTGACTAGTGGTTTTCCAAAGTTACAGATATTTTTTATATTATCTCATAAATTGGCAGCAGGTTTATTAGGCTGCTGTCACTTTAAGACCTGACGCACGGCTCCATTATACTGTCACACATGCGTTTCTTTCTCAACAGACCGAAGCGCCCGCGCCCTCAGATCACTTGGACGTGGCTGTGGTTACAAGAGGTAAAAACGATATAAATACTGTTCGTTTTCTCACACAAACCGCTCGTTTCGTGTCTTAGGCCATCAATGTGTACTTACATTTACGAGTCATTAAATCATGTTTAATTTGGACTTCTCTGTGCATGCTCTTTGAGGTGGTGACCATAGACCTGCATTATATGACTGACAGACAAGAACGGTTTGACCTAAAAATATTAAAATTGAAAATACTGCGGAAACAAAGACATCTACATCTTGGATGCCCTTGAGGTAAGCTAAAACATACCAAAAATTAATTTCAAAGTGAACTATCCCTTTAAACATAACTGACTGTTTACGCGAATACTTGCCAAGACCGGCATTTTTACATTATTTTGTGTGTATTTGACTGTTTAAGCGCAATAAGCAGAGAAAAATAACTCAAATTAGTTCTGAGAGGCGGCTTTATGTGCGCACTTTGGGTTTTGTAAAATGATGCGCAAGCCTGGTTGGACTGTTTCATTTAACAACTACTCAAAGAAGAGGATAGAAAACAGCACTGAAATCAACAGAAGTTAGTTTAAGAAAAAATTGTATGCCCTTCACTCGGATGTGCGTCATTGCTTATGTTGCATTACAGGCTGAACCCTTGAAATGTGTTTAAATGGAAAGCACTATGCTCTTGATCACATGGAATCCGTAATGGATCTGATTTATTATTTACAGTTCGTTTCCCTTATGAATTTGTTTACACGCCATTCTATAGACTTGTATGTATGCTTGGGCTGTTGGAGAAAATATCAAAAATTACACCAACAAAAATTATAACAAACTATAGCTGTGTAAAAAAAAAAAAAAAGCTTAGTGTAGCTACAAGTATTATTAAGGACTTCAGATAGGCTTTGTTATTATGTGGTCAAATGTCAAAATAACTCCAATATACACTAGAGGTGTGTGGGGGCAAATTAAGCGTGATCTGCTGTGACATCACAATCGTGTTGCATTGTGGTCTATGAATCAGACTGAAGTGTACATATTGAGTAGACTCGGTCCCTCGGTCAAAATCGAAAGGTCGAGTGTCTGTCCAAATAAACTTCCCTCGCCCACTTTAAGAAGTTCAACACACTTCAAAATGGCAGCAGGGATTCCCCAGAGGGAGAGTGCTTAGGGAGTGTGGAAACAACAAGACAGATATGCGAGGAGGTCAGAGGGTACCTTCTGTATGAAAATGACAGAAGTGAAAAACACATTAGTAGAAGCTTAGAGTGGAGTACATGTATGGCTAGCGAGACATATGCCCCGTTTACACGAAGGGAAGACGCACATATTTCCCTGCGGTTTGGCCTCTCATTTACACGAAAACCCTGTTTTTATCACAGAAAACGATTATTTCTAAAAAGTGGAGATTTCTGATAACGCCGGTTATGTGTTGCCGTGTCGACTGGGAGAAACAGGGTTTTAGGTTCTCAAACGTCACATTATGCGCCAGAAAATGCTTCACGTCATGCGAGCGCCCAGTTTGGCAGAGTTATGATGGCGCTCGACGGCGGATGTAAATGACAACTCTTTTGAAAACAATGTTGTGTGTACGATGTTATTATTGAAAATGGATATTCGTTTCTCTAAATACCCGGCTATGTGTAAATGTGGCCATAGTGGCAGACGGAAAAACAAAGAATATCCCAGGCTAAAAGGTCCAAGATGGCGGATTTTGCTCGATGACGGGGGTTTTTCTCTCCAGAAAATAAAATCGTGGAAAAAATTAGATGTGTTCTAGAGGTTAATGCCTCGTATAATGTTAAGGTATACTTTATTGCATCATTATATACTTTTTAAATAGCATCCGAGGATTTTCCTTTGAATCTCAGTGGTATTCCATGAATGTATAATTTGTGGTTTGAGCCAAACCACTCCTGTACAGAACATATTTAAAGCTGCTCAGGTTTTGATATTCAGCTCTGCTTACACAGCAACTGTGTGCGTGGTCTAGAGTTCACTGTGTTTGACTGACCACCAGCAGCTTAAATGAGCTTTTACATGTGTTATACAAGTGTGCTTGATTGCACTTATACTGTACTTTGAATCTTATATTTATATTATATTTAAAAAATACTTGCAGATAATATAATATTAATGAAATAAAAGGTGACTTAAGAGCACTTAAAGAGAGTACACTTACATGTTTGTGAATACACTTAAGTACACTTTGAAAATTACACTTTAATAAATGTCAAATTAAAAGTTTGGTAGCACTTTATGTTACAGTCCTGTTCCCCATGTACATATTACAGTAATTACAATAACTGGGTAATAATAATCTTTGATTGTACTTCAATGAAGTACACTTATTTTGATGTGCTGACTAACAAATAAAGCACATGTAAAGTACTTGATTATATTTAACTGTAATGTGCTATTTGATATTACATTTAAAGTTCAACTATTTTTAATGTACTAAATTGCAACTTCATCCTTACAACCGTGCAATAAAATATATTTCGAAGACAGTACAAGTACGAGATTACATCTAAAGAAGTAGTCGAAAAGTTAAAAGTTATTTTTTTTAAATAACATAATTAAGTGTCTGAAAGCATTCAGTTTCAGATTTAAGTATATTATTTTTGTAATAAAGTAAGCTGAGTGTAATTCTTTTTCATTTACAGTATCTAAAGAACATGTGTGTGGTGGAGTGTCTGTACTACAGTATGCTGGGGTGTATTGGGTGGTTACCAGGGTGTTGCTATGGTGTTGTTAACTCAAAGTGTCTATGTTAATTGTGTTTTCTAAATTTGTCACCCCTTCAGTATAAATCTGAGGGCTTTTTTAATGTGTTTTATTATCCACCATGCAAAAAATAATTTGCAAATCGATAAATAAAATTGTAATATGTAATTGATTAGAAAAGTCATGATAAACTTCAAGAAGCTGCATGATTCTAGATATTTATGTCTGTGAGTTAATGTTTGGTTCTGGCTATGTACAATATTACGAGTGATGCTTGCGATTCTTCTCTCTTACCTAATGCAGCAATACTCCTAATACATGTCTGCTGACACTTAATAAGGAAACAAAAGGAAATCCAAGCTCAACTGAAGGTCTGATTGTCAGATATCTCCTGTTTTTGTGGCCTGTTTCTATCCAGCGGTTTTATTTGATGAGGGAAAGCATACCGGCTTCCTGTATTAACACAGTTTGATTAGTTAGAATCGAGTATTTCCGCTCAGAGGAACTGGAAGGTCAGTGAAAGCCAGCCAATTCAGTTCTCTCTCTATGTTTAGACTTTCCCTTTGAGATGTCTGGATTTTTCTACAGAGCACCTACAGAGTGATGTGTTTTAGCAGTGATGGTCCGGATGGCGTCTGTGTCCCAGATAACCAGATCGCTGTCTGAGCCCACGGCTATCCGACCCTTGCGTGGATACAGGTTCAGGATCTTGGCGGCATTGGTGCTTGTCACAGCGACAAACATGTTCTCATCCATTTTACCAGTGACCTGGGCAGAGGAATGACAAACACAACTGAGAATGAAACGCAACGCTTGGTTAACAGTAGTGGTGCGAATACATTTTTTATTATTTAATGTATCGAGTAAATATGTAGATATACATCCTTCCCTCGGGTCATTTTGACCCGAAACTCTTAAAATTAAAAAAATTGAGTGTTCATCAGAGGGGTCCAAGACCCTAGGACTTTTGTCGCACTTGAACCACGAATACCCCAAAAAATGTAATGGATTAGAGGAGTTTTGTGGTTGAAATTTAAAAAAATTTAACAAATCCTTCCCTCGCGGGTCAATTTGACCCCCATAGGAATGAATGGAAAGCGAAGAATGCTTCAGTACTCATAGAAAAACCTAAAAATGCTCACAATTCAAACAATTTTTTTTTAAAAACTTTACCAAAAAATGATTTTATAATGTCTACATGTGTCTCTGAATGCATCTGAAATGAACTGACTTTAGGAGCCAGAAGGAAACAGCTCGTTTGCTCCATATACAGAGCTATATAGAGTCATGAAATATCATGTTATATTATTCAGCAAAGTCACCCAATGTAAGATATTTTGAGCTGAATTTAAAGGGTTATGCATGAAATTGTGAGTTAAAGAATTAAATTAAATCAAATTAAAGTTGAAACAATGTGAGGAATGTGCTTGAATTACTATTTATTTATTTTGTATTGATCAAATCTAGTAATTTAAAGGTAAATAAAATAAAAAATAACAACAAATAATCTCCAAAAAAATAGAAAAAATATATATAATAAATAATAAAATAAGCTTTCTGGACAAAACAAATGTAAGTATAATTTTAGGTCTTCGGGTCATTTTGACCCGCGAGGGAAAGATATGTTACAAAGTGCGCGGGAAGGATGAAGGTAAAATTTTCTGGATCTGAGGATCTTAACACCTTTCGGTAAAATAAACTGATGTCAGAATTTAATAAAGGCTTTGAATGCCGCACATCCAGATATAATTTTGAACTGAGTCTACAGTATCAACTATGATCCTCACCACAGCCTTGTCCCAGATGACTGACATCCTCTCCTCGACTCCATTCACTCCTTCAGGAATCTGAGTGAAGTCATCTTTCCCTATGGCCTTCTGAGCCACGGTAAAAGTGCAGTGAGCACTACCCGTCACCGACAGATCCCCACTGCCAGAGACAGACACATCACAACACTTCAGTGACTAGACTATGTGTATGTAACAGCCAAAAACAACATGTTTAATTCATATCAACCAGTGTGAGAAGTAAGTGCACTTAATTGTACTGAACGTACACTTGTAGTGTACTTCAAATTTCACTTTTGAATAAGATAAAATAATATTAATGCCATGAAAGGCCACTTAAGTGCCCTTGAAGAGCGTATACTGTTTCTTAAAAGTGCACTTTAAAAAGTTTGCTTTGTAATGTCAAATAAATGTTTTACATTAAATTACATTTTAAATCATTGTTTTATTAATATTTTGGCATGCTTTAAAGAAGTACACTTATTTTGATGAGTTGACTTACATGCTAAAGCACATATAAAGTACTTGACTATAATTTGAACTGTAGTGTGTTATTTGATATTAAATTTAAAGTTAATATAATTTAAATGTAGATATCTTTTAGTTTGCCATAAATCAGTACATTCAGCAGTAACTTTAACCATATTTCAAAGACAATAGAAGTAATTATGAAATTACATATAGATGTTCTTAAGTCCTACTTAAGTGGGTCGAAAATAGTATTCTTAACGATTTGCATTTAATATAAATTTAAACTATAATACATTTCAATCTAATTGTAAATAAAATGCAATTGAGTGTCCGAAAACATTACATTCTCATCTCACTTAATTAAATTCTAAGTATATAATTTCCATAAGTACCCTTTTTAAATGTATGCTAAAGTGTGTTCTTTATTACAAGGGAAGTCAAATGAATTTGCAATGGCTTCAAAGCAAGGTAAAGTAAAAATCAGTGAGAGCATCACCAAATTCAGTTTAAGTAATTAGTAGTGTCAAGTACATATGAAATTGAGCCTATATATATACATATGTATATATATATATATGAAAATGGTATGACCCATTTAGTTTGACCAGCAGTTTGTTGAGGTTTGTGCTACTGGATAAAAAGAAAAACTCATGCGGTATCACATGAGCTAGAGTATTTCTGTTCCTAATATCTGCAGTTATGAACAAATAGTGAGTGCATTATTCAATGACACCTTGGATGGATGGCCAGTCCATCACATTGAGTTATTTGACAATAAACTTCAAACGTATCGACTTTCATACTTATTTTAGTCAATAGTTTTAATCAGGGGTATCCAAACTCTGTCCCAGTACACTGCCCTGCAGAATTTAGCTCCAACTTGCCTCGACAAACTAGCCGAGTATTATCTTGATTATCTGGATCAGGTGTGTTTAACTGAAGCTGAACTCTGCAGAACAGTGACCCTCCAGGAGCAGGACTGGACACCATTGGTTTAGATGAACAGACCCACCAGTTAAGAATTAACTGACAGATCTATATCCCAAAATATCTTAACATATATTTAGGATATACTTGTGCTTACCTGGACAACAGGGTGTTCAGGTAGTCTGGAGTGGTTGGGTCTGGACTGAGGGGTGGTGATGTCACAAAAGAAGCAGCCTTAGCCCAGTTCTTGCTCCAATAATGAGTCCCGTCAGTTCCCAAACTGGCCGTGATTGGCTCCCCAAACACCACGTTACCTAGAAATAAACAGCTTTTGTCTCATTATCTAGCTCGTCTCCAAAGTTGACCAACAAGGATTCCTACTGGCAAGAATACAGTGTCTTGTCAGCTGAAAGCATCTGCTCAGCAGTAAAGTTTAAACAGGAAATAAACACGTAAGCAACCCATTAAACAACAGCTACCAAGGCTTAAATGTCTATTATTGCAGGGACATCTGGAAAACACTGCTGCAGTGATCAACAAGAGCTCACTAGAAGAGCTGAGGCTTGCTGGATGCAGCTTTCCATCCATGGGAATGGCAGATGAGCTCATCAATATTGCGTTTGCAGCTTGGTGGTTATTAGGACGATGCTAAGTGGTTGCTTACTGCCCCAAAAGAGCCCAACTCCACGTCTCTATGATATTCTGGCCTCTAGATATGGCTTGGATCCCTCCCTCCTTCAATGCAAAGGTTTTTTTTTTTTCTGGCCGCCAGTCAAAAATCATACGTACAGATGTTTAGAGAAGTAAAAGCACACCTCTCTTCAATAAGCCAGATGATCTGAGCACAAATAGTGTGGGATGAGTTATTTGCCTTTAAGTTGAATTCTTAGAGTAAGTAGGGCTTCGTTCAAATCCCTAAACCTATAAATGAGCAATTTTAACCGAGTTCATGGCAAACGCCACTAATAAAATGCATCTAAGACCTTTGCAAATCTCATTAAAAGCATCCAGAGGATAAAACTGCCTTATAAAGCTCCACTGACAAAACCTTTAGTCTCCATTCAGGACAGTCAGAAAGAATAAAGGGGTACAGTCTATGTCATAGGTTTGCATCCCTTTTGAAGACAGTGATTAACTACCCAATTTAACACTTGAACAGTGATGAATACTGCAAGAGAGATCATTTTACAACACTTTTGGGAACGCTCTCTACCATTTCAGTGACCTAAAACTGCTGCCATAGAAATGAACTACACTCTTTATTCCCGGTAGTGCGGCAAAGCTAAGGGATAGAGTACAGTCAGCAGATTGTTATGCTAAAGAAACCTCTTCAGGGTGATCGAAAACCCCACTGCGAAATGATCCCGCTTTTATTCGCGGCTACTAGCCACATACATACATAATTGAACACAAAATATTATTAATTTGAAATATTATATTGCCTCAAGAGGTCTCACAGTACCCGCTTGAGCGGTCTGATATCAGTTGTAATGGCTGTGGTTGTGGAATAACAGAGCACTAGATTGTGTGATTGAAGAATCTGAATTGATTTTTGCAGGGAGCTGCGTAAAAATATAAATGAATGATGCATGGTTCTGCATTAAGCATGGACAAGTTTGTGAACGGACTGCCGGCGCCAGGTAAACGTAAAGCAGATGATGAATCTACTTCAAATGTCACAACTACCAAAACAACAAGTCTACACCAGATGGGAGTGGTGCGACGTGACGGGACAAAAGCAAGTAGAACCATTATAATGAGTGATGCTGTCTACACTGGATGTGGTGCAGCGACAGTACACTGAAGACCAGCCAGGACATGTCTTGCCTACTGATTCACCAGAATAACGGTGAGTGATGAAGAGAGACCGCGGTGTGTTGTGTGCCTCAAAACACTAGCTTCTGACAGTCTGAACCCGAACAAGTCAAGACGCCACTTAGGGGCTGTTTACACCTGGCCACTTCATGCATTTTCTGTGATGGGATAGCTATCTGATTGTGAAAAGACCAGGTGTAAATGCCCTCCGAAACGCATTTGAGACGGATTTGAATCCGATCGCTCAGACCACATCAGGAGGAGGTCTGGGCCGCATTCCAGACGAAACTGGACAAGTGTAAATGCATCTGGTTGTTGAAACCGCATATGTAAATTTTACTCCTCCCAAAAATGCTAAAAAATAAACGTGTGAGAGCGTGTTATAGGCTATATGTCATGTTATAGTCAGGTATGACGACGCTACTGCGACACGCATCACCGCAGATGAGCAGCTGAGCATCTCTTCATCAAGCCAACGTGCCGCAAACTATCGCAAATCAAAGTGAAAGTAAGTCGCAGACGCTTAACTAATCATCTTCATTAAAAGTAAAGAATCTTACCAGTTCTGTTAACGCTCTCTCTTATTGCGGTCTTTGATTTTGAAATTAGCTGATGATCAATAAAATACAGCAATATCTGTTGCTTTCGGTGACGTGCACTCCATTAAATCTGCAGCGGGAATTGAAGATCGGATTTATATCCACACATTTATGTGACCAGGAGTAAATGTAATCGTTTTGATAAATCAGATAGCTATCCGATCTGAGAAAACGCATGAAGTGGCCAGGTGTAAACAGCCACTTAGAGACTTCACATCACGAACACAAAGAGAAAGTTAAGAGTTGAGAAGTTGTAGTACTGTGTTAATTACAATGTTTCAACTAAATCCTGTAGGAAAGTTTAGGGAAAAGTTTGGGAACCACTGCTTTATTCAATGGTTAGTTCAGGCAAAAATTCAAATTTTGTCATCAATTGCTCACCCAGGTATTCCAAAGCCAGAAGACTTTCATTCATCTTTGGAACATAAAATAAGCTATTTTTCAATGAAATCTGAAGGTGCGTCGCAATTCACGTACTTATGCACTATTCTATGATGTTTAGAAGTATAATTACTGAAAATTCCATCAAAAAAAAGTGCAATTTAAATACCTGGGTGATGCACTTAATTAACCGAATAAATGAAGTGTGGCATTTTGGACACTTCGGCCCAGTCCAAAGTGGAACCCGAAGCCCTCGCGATCTTCCACACTTTCATGATGCGATGCCGCTTTGACTGTCGGGTGCGCATTGAGAGCACATATCGACCAGAAAGGGGCCTGTCTTGTGGACTTAGCGGACATGCGCATGCAATGAAGACAGCTAATGAACATAAAGTGTGTTATTTGGGACAGGACCTTCATGTACTCAACTGTCGCAGCTTTAAAGTGCCCCTGTAGTCAATAATTGTATCCCTTAAAACTCATCTTTGATCCCCAAAATTACATATTTAAAATGTTTATGCCTTAAAATAGCTTGAATGTAACTCTACACCCTTGCTTCATTTAGTATATGCGGCTCTATGAATATGCAAAGTAGTCCCGCCTCCACTCACTCACACCAGCACAATCAATGAGTTTGTTTTTTATGTGCGTCAAGCAAGTATGGTATCCTATGTTTACCATGTTTAAATTTGACTATGGAATTAATTTGATTATTTTAATGAATTTACAGCCCTGATATTTACACCTATGAGTTATTTACTTATTTAAATTCCTCCTTTAGTATTTCGCTTACAAAATACCAGTATACCGGTTTTAAATGAGTAAATAATGACAGAATTTTAAGAGCTAAAAGGCAGAGGAGAAACCTTTTCTTTTATTAACTACTTTTACTAATTAATTTGATTGAACTTTTTGGTCCCTAGTTATATTAAGTGGCTTTAAGTACTATGTACTTACATTAAAATTAATAATTTGATACAATGGACTTATTGTGTGCATACATGTGTTTACATTGTACTTATATTTTGAAAATACCTGCATGTAATTACAGATGTAATTAATTTATTTGCATGTATAATTACACTGTTGACCTTACACCTTAACTCACCCTTAAACCGACCCATACCACACACACCTGACCCAAACCTTACCCATATCACACCTCAATAGCAGCAAAAGTGTTTTACGATACAACATGAACACAATAAGTACATTGTACTTATTTTTCAATGTTAATACATAGTACTTAAAGCCACTTAATATAAAGTGGGACTTAAATATTCTCTAAAATGATATCTGCTGGCTTCTGTACTCACGAGTCCTTCTCGCTTCCCTGAGACTGTAATCATGACTATTTATTTATATTGAACTAATTTACGTAAGAGAGCATTTTATCTGAATGATTTAACTAAACAGTGAGGATTATTATGATGATGGATTGTGGAACTTTTACAACAAACCAGGCAGTGCATTTAAAATCAACATTTCACACAAGTGGAAATAATGTACAGACAGCTAATATATAGTGAAACAACAAATTAACAATAATACATTCATAATAATAAAACTGTTATTTACATAAATGACACACAGAGACACAGTTGTATTGAACTGAAGGTCATTACAGTCATGAATATATACGTCAAAGATGACTGTAGCTCGGCTAAGGTTTATTTAACTGGACGAGATGTGTAAACTAGCAGGCGACATCTGTGAAAGCTCAAGCGTTGCGCTGATGACATGCTCACGCTGCTGGGATTTCTTATTTATCACACATTTCAATGTGTTCCACACCTCAGCCCACTCTAATACTAACACTGCTCCATAACATTGGTTGTATTCACACAGATATAGACGATTATGAATATGTGAAATATGGTAAATATTACAATTAACAAAAATATTCTGTACATTCTTTGTATTTTTTAAATGGATGCGTTGATATTGTTTGAAATTGGCCCCATTACAAGACATTAATTAGAGAATCACTCATTCAAGTTGTATTTTTTAAAATTTTAAATTGTGTACCTTTTTTCCTGGCCTGTGAGATGATATCAGCCGCACTCTTGCTCATCACGCGGGTCACATAGAGAGGACAGTTGGTTTGACTGGCAATCGTGACGGCTCGAAACACTGCCTCAGCCTCTAGCTACACACACACACACACACATAATGAAGGACATTGCAAATCAGATTTAGCTGCATCTCTATGTATCTCGCATAGTTCCTCACACAATACACTATGTTGATTTATTTCTATGCATAACCAAAATAACTTATAAATCTAGTTTACCACCCCACTCAGTAAAATTAGATCAAGGATCACGTCTGCAAAAGATCACTGATGCCAGACAAATTAGATCTGTGAGGCGGGCCGATTTTATGTCAAGTACCTTCTCTTGTTGTGAGTTTTATGTTAAGAATTGGGAAACAGAAATGTTATGGGGATTGCAGTGATTTTATGAAATGATATACCACCGACACCGACCAGTATACAGCTGTTATTAGTGGTCACTGACCTCTTCCGGGCGGCTGAGAACATGTCCCTCAGGTCCTGTGATGCCCATCTCCAGCATACGGGTCTGCTCCTGAAGAACACAGTCAAAGTAGATTAGTGACTCTCTGGCCCTGTTTACAGCTGGTTTTAAGAGGCGTTTTGGTGGATCGGATCACAAGTAGACGAGGGAGACACATTCCCGTTTACACCTGGTGTTTTAATCCGTCTCTTTTGTCCACTTTCAACCACTTCTGTCCTGATTTCTTCAAGTTGTTTTGATCCAATGGACGAAATGAGCTCACGCAATGTACATATGGACGAGCTTGGAGACGTGTATCAACTGTACATCGTGATTTGTAATTTCATAATTGCTTCTGTTGTCTTTGAGATATGATTAAAATGCACTGCCAAATGTACTGACGAGCATTTATGTAAACTAATATACTTCATACTTCTATACTTCAATATTACGTCATTTATTTTGAAACTTGTATGTCATATATATTTAGATATATTTGTAATTACACAGTTGTAATGAAGAAAGTTGCAATTTAGTACATTTAAAATATATTAATTTTAAATATAATATCAACCGTCACTTCAGTTAAAATATAATAAAGTACTTCGCATGTGCTTTAGTATGTTAATCAACAAATCAAAATAAGGGTACAAACAAAGATTACCAATAATTAATAAATTATTTAAAATATACTTAATTTGAGATAAGCACTGTACATATTTTTTAAAGTGTACTTAAACCTATCAATAAACAGTCATGAAACTCTCTTTAAGTACTCCTAAATGGTCTTTTATTTGATTAATATATTATCTACAACTACAGTTTTTTTTTTAAAATATACTTTTAAGATTTAAAGTACACTACAAGCGCGCATTCAATCCAATTAAACACACTTCTTTATCACAAGGGCAGAATCAGACAAACTAGACACTGTAAATAAAAGTTGCTGCCTTACATTTTTAAGAACTGTTTAAGTCATTTCAACTCAAATTACATTAAACTGGCTTGAATCTTAAAGAACTTGTACAAAAAAAATTGCAAATTGTTCTTAACTCTTGAAAAAGAGTTAATACTATGTAAAAACATATGTTGTCAGAACTTATTGATCATATAATTTTCCACAGTGTACTTTTTACTATTTAACTACAGTATTATTTTACAGAATCTACAATAGGATGATGATGCAAGTATGCAGAGTAACTGATGTTCAAAGATAACTGGCAGAGCAGAAGCATCATGTGTAATGGGTTGAGACCACCCGCACACTGACAGCCTGATAATGTCCAGATGATGGAAACTGGATGAGGGAAATCAGGACGTACAGTATCCTATCCTCCCACTCTTCAGACGGATCGAGGGCATGCACTGCTAAATATCCTCACCTCACCCTCAGTCATGGAAAATGTGTCATCACATCACTGCTTTTCAATCTCAGAATGGCTTGATTCACAGTAAATCAACCAAGCCGTTCTGAGACCCTGAAACACAGTATCATGAACTACACAGCACATATATTTACTTACTTAAATTGCAGCCTGAGCAATTTGACAATCACACAAAGCCATATCGTGATATTGATTTTATTTTGATATATGTTGCATATAACTGTACAGTGTGTTACTGTCTGCCAGTGGCTATGATGCATATTTATCTTACATGCATATTTTATGACAATGTTCTGAGCACATTTCAGAAGAATGCAGAATAATCAAAAGCTCTCTTAAATGAGAATGTCCCGTCCACCTACAGTAATACCACATGCCTCTTGGTTGAGTCATGGTTCATGGTTGAGAAAACTGAAGCATGTTAGCTACTGAAAAAATAAATAAATCTTTAAACGATTTCAAAAGTGGCCCAAAGTGGTCCTTTAAAGGGGCCAAGACGTGGATTTTTTTATTATTTTAATGTTCCTTGAGAATTAGTTATAATTTTAATAAGGTTTTTAGCACAATATATATACTACTAATATATAAACCTCTGTTTTTAAGGCGCGGCTCCTTTAATGCTTGTCAGTCAGTAAATGCCCACTGTTTGACTAACGTCACTGCATAGGAAACATCAAATCATTATCCATATTAAACAACAATTTACAGAAAAAGCAAAGCATTATGAAATCATTTACTTGCGGTTTGTGATGCAGCTGCTGTCAGATTCAATACAGTCGCTGCTTCATCTTTTAACAAAAGTTTCTTTGTATTCAGCGTCAGTCATTATAATCTGAACACACATCTGTATACTGTATCAGTGTAGACAGAGTCAGTCATTATAATCTGAACACACATCTGTATACTGTATCAGTGTAGACAGCGTCAGTCATTATAATCTGAACACACATCTGTATACTGTATCACTGTAGACAGCGTCAGTCATTATAATCTGAACACACATCTGTATACTGTATCAGTGTAGACAGCGTCAGTCATTATAATCTGAACACACATCTGTATACTGTATCACTGTAGACAGCGTCAGTCATTATAATCTGAACACACACCTGTATACTGTATCAGTGTAGACAGCGTCAGTCATTATAATCTGAACACACATCTGTATACTGTATCAGTGTATCAGCGTCAGTCATTATAATCTGAACACACATCTGTATACTGTATCAGTGTATCAGCATCAGTCATTATAATCTGAACACACATCTGTATACTGTATCAGTGTATCAGCGTCAGTCATTATAATCTGAACACACATCTGTATACTGTATCAGTGTATCAGCATCAGTCATTATAATCTGAACACACATCTGTATACTGTATCAGTGTAGACAGCGTCAGTTATTATAATCTGAACACACATCTGTATACTGTATCAGTGTAGACAGCATCAGTCATTACAATCTGAACACACATCTGTATACTGTATCAGTGTATCAGCGTCAGTCATTATAATCTGAACACACATCTGTATACTGTATCAGTGTAGACAGCATCAGTCATTACAATCTGAACACACATCTGTATACTGTATCAGTGTATCAGCGTCAGTCATTATAATCTGAACACACATCTGTATACTGTATCAGTGTATCAGCGTCAGTCATTATAATCTGAACACACATCTGTATACTGTATCACTGTATCAGCGTCAGTCATTATAATCTGAACACACATCTGTATACTGTATCAGTGTAGACAGCATCAGTCATTATAATCTGAACACACATCTGTATACTGTATCAGTGTAGACAGCGTCAGTCATTATAATCTGAACACACATCTGTATACTGTATCAGTGTAGACAGAGTCAGTCATTATAATCTGAACACACATCTGTATACTGTATCAGTGTATCAGCGTCAGTCATTATAATCTGAACACACATCTGTATACTGTATCAGTGTAGACAGCGTCAGTCATTATAATCTGAACACACATCTGTATACTGTATCAGTGTAGACAGCATCAGTCATTATAATCTTAACACACATCTGTATACTGTATCAGTGTAGACAGCATCAGTCATTATAATCTGAACACACATCTGTATACTGTATCAGTGTAGACAGCATCAGTCATTATAATCTGAACACACATCTGTATACTGTATCAGTGTATCAGCGTCAGTCATTATAATCTGAACACACATCTGTATACTGTATCAGTGTATCAGCGTCAGTCATTATAATCTGAACACACATCTGTATACTGTATCAGTGTATCAGCGTCAGTCATTATAATCTGAACACACATCTGTATACTGTATCAGTGTATCAGCGTCAGTCATTATAATCTGAACACACATCTGTATACTGTATCAGTGTAGACAGCATCAGTCATTATAATCTGAACACACATCTGTATACTGTATCAGTGTAGACAGGATCAGTCATTATAATCTGAACACACATCTGTATACTGTATCAGTGTAGACAGCATCAGTCATTATAATCTGAACACACACCTGTATACTGTATCAGTGTAGACAGCATCAGTCATTATAATCTGAACACACATCTGTATACTGTATCAGTGTAGACAGAGTCAGTCATTATAATCTGAACACACATCTGTATACTGTATCAGTGTAGACAGCGTCAGTCATTATAATCTGAACACACATCTGTATACTGTATCAGTGTAGACAGCGTCAGTCATTATAATCTGAACACACATCTGTATACTGTATCAGTGTATCAGCGTCAGTCATTATAATCTGAACACACATCTGTATACTGTATCAGTGTAGACAGGATCAGTCATTATAATCTGAACACACATCTGTATACTGTATCAGTGTAGACAGCATCAGTCATTATAATCTGAACACACACCTGTATACTGTATCAGTGTAGACAGCATCAGTCATTATAATCTGAACACACATCTGTATACTGTATCTGTGTAGACAGAGTCAGTCATTATAATCTGAACACACATCTGTATACTGTATCAGTGTAGACAGCGTCAGTCATTATAATCTGAACACACATCTGTATACTGTATCAGTGTAGACAGCGTCAGTCATTATAATCTGAACACACATCTGTATACTGTATCAGTGTATCAGCGTCAGTCATTATAATCTGAACACACATCTGTATACTGTATCAGTGTAGACAGCGTCAGTCATTATAATCTGAACACACATCTGTATACTGTATCAGCGTCAGTCATTATAATCTGAACACACATCTGTATACTGTATCAGTGTAGACAGCGTCAGTCATTATAATCTGAACACACATCTGTATACTGTATCAGTGTAGACAGCGTCAGTTATTATAATCTGAACACACATCTGTATACTGTATCAGTGTAGACAGCGTCAGTCATTATAATCTGAACACACATCTGTATACTGTATCAGTGTAGACAGCATCAGTCATTATAATCTGAACACACATCTGTATACTGTATCAGTGTAGACAGCGTCAGTCATTATAATCTGAACACACATCTGTATACTGTATCAGTGTATCAGCGTCAGTCATTATAATCTGAACACACACCTGTATACTGTATCAGTGTAGACAGCGTCAGTCATTATAATCTGAACACACATCTGTATACTGTATCAGTGTATCAGCGTCAGTCATTATAATCTGAACACACACCTGTATACTGTATCAGTGTAGACAGAGTCAGTCATTATAATCTGAACACACATCTGCATACTGTATCAGTGTAGACAGCGTCAGTCATTATAATCTGAACACACATCTGTATACTGTATCAGTGTAGACAGTGTCAGTCATTATAATCTGAACACACATCTGTATACTGTATCAGTGTAGACAGCGTCAGTCATTATAATCTGAACACACATCTGTATACTGTATCAGTGTAGACAGAGTCAGTCATTATAATCTTAACACACATCTGTATACTGTATCAGTGTAGACAGCATCAGTCATTATAATCTGAACACACATCTGTATACTGTATCACTGTAGACAGCGTCAGTCATTATAATCTGAACACACATCTGTATACTGTATCAGTGTAGACAGAGTCAGTCATTATAATCTTAACACACATCTGTATACTGTATCAGTGTAGACAGCATCAGTCATTATAATCTGAACACACATCTGTATACTGTATCAGTGTATCAGCGTCAGTCATTATAATCTGAACACACATCTGTATACTGTATCAGTGTAGACAGCGTCAGTCATTATAATCTGAACACACATCTGTATACTGTATCAGTGTATCAGCGTCAGTCATTATAATCTGAACACACATCTGTATACTGTATCAGTGTATCAGCGTCAGTCATTATAATCTGAACACACATCTGTATACTGTATCAGTGTATCAGCGTCAGTCATTATAATCTGAACACACATCTGTATACTGTATCAGTGTAGACAGCGTCAGTCATTATAATCTGAACACACATCTGTATACTGTATCAGTGTAGACAGCATCAGTCATTATAATCTGAACACACATCTGTATACTGTATCAGTGTATCAGCATCAGTCATTATAATCTGAACACACATCTGTATACTGTATCAGTGTATCAGCGTCAGTCATTATAATCTGAACACACATCTGTATACTGTATCAGTGTATCAGCGTCAGTCATTATAATCTGAACACACATCTGTATACTGTATCAGTGTAGACAGCATCAGTCATTATAATCTGAACACACACCTGTATACTGTATCAGTGTAGACAGCGTCAGTCATTATAATCTGAACACACATCTGTATACTGTATCAGTGTAGACAGGATCAGTCATTATAATCTGAACACACATCTGTATACTGTATCAGTGTAGACAGCATCAGTCATTATAATCTGAACACACATCTGTATACTGTATCAGTGTAGACAGCGTCAGTCATTATAATCTGAACACACACCTGTATACTGTATCAGTGTAGACAGCGTCAGTCATTATAATCTGAACACACATCTGTATACTGTATCAGTGTATCAGCGTCAGTCATTATAATCTGAACACACACCTGTATACTGTATCAGTGTAGACAGCGTCAGTCATTATAATCTGAACACACATCTGTATACTGTATCAGTGTAGACAGCATCAGTCATTATAATCTGAACACACATCTGTATACTGTATCAGTGTAGACAGAGTCAGTCATTATAATCTGAACACACATCTGTATACTGTATCAGTGTAGACAGCGTCAGTCATTATAATCTGAACACACATCTGTATACTGTATCAGTGTAGACAGTGTCAGTCATTATAATCTGAACACACATCTGTATACTGTATCACTGTAGACAGCATCAGTCATTATAATCTGAACACACATCTGTATACTGTATCACTGTAGACAGCGTCAGTCATTATAATCTGAACACACATCTGTATACTGTATCAGTGTAGACAGAGTCAGTCATTATAATCTTAACACACATCTGTATACTGTATCAGTGTAGACAGCATCAGTCATTATAATCTGAACACACATCTGTATACTGTATCAGTGTATCAGCGTCAGTCATTATAATCTGAACACACATCTGTATACTGTATCAGTGTATCAGCGTCAGTCATTATAATCTGAACACACATCTGTATACTGTATCAGTGTAGACAGCATCAGTCATTATAATCTGAACACACATCTGTATACTGTATCAGTGTATCAGCGTCAGTCATTATAATCTGAACACACATCTGTATACTGTATCAGTGTAGACAGCGTCAGTCATTATAATCTGAACACACATCTGTATACTGTATCAGTGTATCAGCGTCAGTCATTATAATATGAACACACATCTGTATACTGTATCAGTGTATCAGCGTCAGTCATTATAATCTGAACACACATCTGTATACTGTATCAGTGTATCAGCGTCAGTCATTATAATCTGAACACACATCTGTGTACTGTATCAGTGTAGACAGGATCAGTCATTATAATCTGAACACACATCTGTATACTGTATCAGTGTAGACAGAATCAGTCATTATAATCTGAACACACATCTGTATACTGTATCAGTGTATCAGCGTCAGTCATTATAATCTGAACACACATCTGTATACTGTATCAGTGTAGACAGGATCAGTCATTATAATCTGAACACACATCTGTATACTGTATCAGTGTAGACAGCATCAGTCATTATAATCTGAACACACATCTGTATACTGTATCAGTGTAGACAGCATCAGTCATTATAATCTGAACACACATCTGTATACTGTATCAGTGTATCAGCGTCAGTCATTATAATCTGAACACACATCTGTATACTGTATCAGTGTAGACAGCGTCAGTCATTATAATCTGAACACACATCTGTATACTGTATCAGTGTAGACAGCGTCAGTCATTATAATCTGAACACACATCTGTATACTGTATCAGTGTAGACAGCATCAGTCATTATAATCTGAACACACATCTGTATACTGTATCAGTGTAGACAGCATCAGTCATTATAATCTGAACACACACCTGTATACTGTATCAGTGTATCAGCGTCAGTCATTATAATCTGAACACACATCTGTATACTGTATCAGTGTAGACAGGATCAGTCATTATAATCTGAACACACATCTGTATACTGTATCAGTGTATCAGCGTCAGTCATTATAATCTGAACACACATCTGTATACTGTATCAGTGTATCAGCGTCAGTCATTATAATCTGAACACACATCTGTATACTGTATCAGTGTAGACAGCATCAGTCATTATAATCTGAACACACATCTGTATACTGTATCAGTGTAGACAGGATCAGTCATTATAATCTGAACACACATCTGTATACTGTATCAGTGTATCAGCGTCAGTCATTATAATCTGAACACACATCTGTATACTGTATCAGTGTAGACAGCGTCAGTCATTATAATCTGAACACACATCTGTATACTGTATCAGTGTATCAGTGTCAGTCATTATAATCTGAACACACATCTGTATACTGTATCAGTGTATCAGCGTCAGTCATTATAATCTGAACACACATCTGTATACTGTATCAGTGTAGACAGCGTCAGTCATTATAATCTGAACACACATCTGTATACTGTATCAGTGTAGACAGCGTCAGTCATTATAATCTGAACACACATCTGTATACTGTATCAGTGTATCAGCGTCAGTCATTATAATCTGAACACACATCTGTATACTGTATCAGTGTAGACAGCGTCAGTCATTATAATCTGAACACACATCTGTATACTGTATCAGTGTAGACAGGATCAGTCATTATAATGGCTCCAATTTGCTTTTGACGCGACGCTCACATCCAGTGTAGGCAAATGTCGGCCGTGAAGCGACTGAATGCCAGTGGGCGGAGCCTATGGTGTGATGATTTATAACGATTGGTCGATGTCTTGCTCTGGAGGCGGGCATATGTAAATGTGTTTGCCCATGTGACGTCAGATCCCGCAATAACAAAACGAGCTGTTTTTAGAGCTTGATTAATAAATGCTTTGTTTATAATGAGGAGGACGTTTTAAGCTCTGAAACTTGCAGCATGACCTTTTATATGTCAAACGATCAAGGCAAATTTGATTTCTCATGTCATGACCCCTTTAAAAATTGCCCAGAGTTAAATGCAGTAAAGCAAAATAAAGTGCATACCTCAGCTATTATTTCTCCATTTTCTGCGTGGACCTGTGCAATTCCTCCATGCTCTCCAAGAAAGGTGAAGATCTCATAAAGCTGTTCAAATATAAATAGAAAAATCATATTAGATATTAAATAGTGAGGTTTTAACAAGAAAACATAGCTTATGTTACAATGTGTTCAAGTGGTGACATAAAACGGTTATTTGTTAGTTCAGATGAACCATACAAACTAAAGTCTGTGTGACTAAAGTCGAAAAATCAAGCCATTTTCAGTTAATAGAAGAATAATATTCATAGAGCTTGTTATTTATTTTCATTACGAATATATAAATAATCATTAATAAACAGCAACATTCTTTAAAATAAAATGAAGGGACATTCGTGAGTGAAAATTACTGTTTTGAACTGATTCATTCAAAACAGACAGCACAAAAAATGCCTCCACAAACACTATTTAAGACTTGTTATCCTTCTTACAGACTTAAGACATTTGAGTGCTTTGTAAGGATCTGCAGGTACCCTGTTTAATATGACTGACCTACATTACGTTATGCCAACGAAAATCATTTTTAAGGGTCAGATCATAAAGAAGTAACTCCCAAAAACTGATCAAAGGAAAAGAACGTGTTTGTCCACTATGCTCTCCGCTTCTCTTCGGCTTACCTCACTGTTGCTCATCTGATAGAGGTCTTTATAAGCCATATACACCTGGAAGGAGTTCACTCCTGTATGGACAGAACGAATAAATCAGCAAACCACAACATGAAACAGCGTTCACTATCAATTTTCACTTCCATAATGTTATGCGACTCTTATTCTCCAAGTAGGGTGGGGGTTGTATCCATCATGATTGACTGGATGGTGAAAATACCAGAATGGACGTTAAACAATAAGTATAAACTGATGCATCAAGCCCAGACCAGGGATGTGATGAATTTTGATTTTTTTTAATAGATAATAATGTTATAGATGACATTCTTCAACAAACAATATTTGACTTAAAAGAAAATATTATTTCAATGTTATTTCAGATAAAAGAAATAAAAGATCACTCATTAATATTGATTTAATAAGTCTTTTCTAACAAACACTAAATGTTCTACTGTATCTAAAGCGCAGTGCTTCATTAGTTGTCACATGATCATATGTAGCGGGACCGATTCTGCGCTCATTTGTTGGTTATACAGTACTGAAGCAGAAACAGAAATAGCTCAAATGACCAAGAATAACTTCAGTCAAAGCAAAACACATTCCCTATGGGATACCATACTGGTAGATGTATTTATAACTTCAGAAGCTTTTTTTTTTTTTTTTTTTTAAGTATGCTGAACTATTTTCTGGACCAGTTCAGAAATGAATTCTTGCCATCTGGATGCTTGAATCCCTTGTTCAAGGACGTACTAGTAAAAGATCTCTCACCTTTCTCCTTAATGAGGCTCTCGACCTCTAGTTTGGTGCTGTCGTTCCAGTGTGTGATGTCCACATGCAGAGAGTAGTCACAGCAGGTTTTCTCATCTGCCCATTCACGCCAGCGCTCGAACGCTTCCACCAAACTAGCGCCAGGCTCCGGGATCACATGATCCACTGCAGGCGATGCATAAGAGAGGGACATTTTCAATAAGTAATTACTTTTCAACCGCTTAAAAAGTATGATCTATATAGTATGAATGCGTGTAGTATGAAAGTAATCCGAATGTACTATAATATTTGCCATGTTGTTACTGTCACATGACCAACCAGCATCAGTTACATCGCTTCACTGCCGTTCACAAATCGTCTCCCGTGGCCTCATGGGATACTAAGTGTCCGACCGTCATATACACACTTCAGTATCTCACTGGAAGAAGCACTGTAGGCAATCTGGGTCATTTTTGCCTACTCTTTTATGAGTACTGTGAATTCAGACATACTTCTTCTGTCAAATAATGTTTTTCGCGTACTATATAATAGGGAAGTATGTGATTTCAGATGCACCCCTATATTTTTAAAAAGCACACACCTTTATTTTTGTTAAATCTCTAACTGAAATGTGTGCTACGGTCAAAATCTACTCAGAAATTTTTTATTAAGCATACCAACAAAAACCTTGTGGATTGTTCACAGGATAGTTGCCACGCTTCCTCTTTTACCTGGTCATCATGGCATGAGAAGAAAGAGTCCAGTTTCATATTTTCAGACTTTACACAAGTGCATAAACGCAGCTGCGAGTGTGTGACCAACACATGTACTAGCGTTTGGTTATTTTAGCCTCTTATTAGCATTGTTGCATTGCAAACTGTGTTAATGCGCAAGTTAGAACTGGATGCAAGTATGCATAAACTGTTCTTGGCCTTCGTCATCAAATTCTCTGTAAAATGACATTGGATTCGGTCAGCATTAGAGGACGGCTTCTTGTGGTCTTCTAGTGCAGACCACAAAATATACTATTACTGTTCTCATAAATGCAACACAGCTAATTTCCCTCATATTAAAGAAAACCTCTAAAGAGATCTAGCCAGGAGTCTCTCAGTGTTTTCACTACTTCATTGTCTCTATATTATCTACATGTATAATCTACTAAACATTTCCTCTGGGAACAAAGGGATACGTGCAGCTGGTCTTTAACTTTAAAATGAATCCCTGCTAATGTTCCCTGGTAAACGCAGGGTTAGCCGTTCTTATATACCAGCTGTTGTCACTTTTTCTTCTGCGGTGGTCAGAAAGAGCTGCTCTTTCCACAGAACTCGAGTTTCACTGTGGGCCGCGTACGGGAGCTTTGTGTGGTCTGCCGGAAGGCTACTATTGTTGTCGATGTTTATTATTAACACACACACACACACACACGCACAGACACATACTTTCCCATGTCTGTGAAGCAGCGAGCTTTAACAGCTTTTAATGCACTTTACTGGGTCCATTAAAAGGGGTCTTATTTTAATGTGCTTAAACGTTCAAACCACCTAATTTCTTAGCAAAAGCCTCCTACTGCATTTGAACGCCTGTTAGGTATACAGTATCCTGAATATTATATAGAGTTCTGGTTAACACTTTATTTTAAAGGGATAGTTCGGCCAAAAATGATATTTAACCCATGCATTACTCACCCTCAAGCCGTTCGAGATGCATATGTCAATCTTGTTTCAGACGAACACATTTTCAGTTATTTTAGAAAATGTCTTAGACCCTTCAGTGGATATAATGTGAAGCAATGGGGTCCACCTCCTTCAAGTCCCAAAATGTGCATACATCCTTCACAAAAGTAATCCATCCGGCTCCAGGGGGATAAACGAAGGCCTTCTGATGGTAATCCGTGCGGTTTTGTGTAAAAATATACATATTTAAAACTTTATAAATGAAAATATCTGACTTCCGGCAACGATCGACGCGCGTTCACGGGTGATGGAAGTCGGCGTACGAGGAGGACGTAGCGTAGGAACCGGCGTGACGTAGAACGAACGCGCCAGCGCAGCCAGAGAGCAGAGCAAAACAAATCACCCGTGAACGCGCGTCGATCGTTGCCGGAAGTCAGATATTTTCATTTATAAAGTTTTAAATATGTATATTTATACGACAAAACCGCACGGATTACCATCAGAAGGCCTTCGTTTATCCCCCTGGAGCCGGATGGATTACTTTTGTGAAGGATGTATGCACATTTTGGGACTTGAAGGAGGTGGACCCCATTGCTTCCCATTATATCCACTGAAGGGTCTAAGACATTTTCTAAAATAACTGAAAATGTGTTCGTCTGAAACAAGATTGACATATGCATCTCGAACGGCTTGAGGGTGAGTAATGCATGGGTTAAATATCATTTTTGGCCGAACTATCCCTTTAAGGTGTCCGTGTTACAGTGTAATTATATATTTAAGTACTGGGTAATATTAAGCAACTACATGTACTTACTATAGGGTTAGGATTTGGTTGAGGGTTAGTTGCATGTAATTATGCATAATTTACTGTTATTACTATGGTAAGTACATGTAATATATAATTACATGTAATACAAGGACACTGTACTTAGCAGATAAATATGACAGATCTTACCGATCATGGTAGTTCCTCCAGCAAGAGCAGCCTTGGTGCCCTGGCTGAAATCATCCACGGTTGTCGTGCCCCTGAAGGGCATCTGTAAGTGGGTGTGGATGTCAATTCCTCCAGGAATCACCATCTTCCCATTGGCCTCAACCGTCTTCACCCCTCCTGGTACTATCAAGTTGTCACCAATTTGCCTTAAAGTTGACAGAACATGGTAATTTAGCTCAACTTTTTCATTACACTATGAATTAAATGTTATTGGATCGATGAAGGGATGATCATTTCTGAGTATGACTAATGCTTAGTGTTGAATAACTCATCTCAGATCATAAGGAAAAATAGATAGAATTCTTGAAAAAATGTATTAATAAATCACATTATCAATATGATATAATTTAAAATACTATGAATAACTCAAAATCTTTGGTCTGCTAAATAAAACTAATTGTGGTCGGAAGCCATTTTGTTGTCATGTGACCCCTGTATATTTTGGGTAATGGAAATTAATAGAATACTAAAAATATCAATATTTTGACCAAGTTGTTCTAAACCTTAATGAATTTCTTTCTTCTACCGAACACAGAAGATATTTTGAAGAAGGTTGGTAACTAAACAGGTTCTGGTCCCTATTGACTTCCATAGTATAGAAAATGTGGGTGAACTAACCCTTTAAAGGTGTATTGTGTAATATTTAGGAGGATCTGTTGACAGAAATGCAATATCATATACATAACTATGTTTTCAGTGGCGTATAAAGACCTTACATAATGAAGCGTTATGTTTTTATTACCTCAGAATGAGCCGTTTCTCTCTACACACACCGCGGGTCTCCTTACATCGACATGTTTCTACAGTGGCCCTGAGCGGACACACGCGTTTCGTCACTATGTCGTTCTTCGTGCAAAGAAGCGAGCGAATAAAACACTGACACAATGATGAACAAGTAACAATAATATTCGCAATAACATATCGCTTTACTGAATAATTAAGTAAACCTAATTTCTTAATTTATCTTTTTAAAGAAACCTCATTGCTTAACTGGCTACTCTCTGCGGTCTCAGTCGACGACATCACTTCCTGTCGGTGGTAACTTCTGTTGTGTGCAATTCGCAACCTCACCACTAGATGCGGCTAAAAATTACACACTGCACCTTTAAGTACCTTAAATAGGAAATCCGAGTTGATAGAAAGTCACTTCATAATGCTTAAATGGAACAATGGTTTTTTTTTTGTCATTTCATTAAATATATATGTTTGTTGAAAATGAAATAAAAGTTCAAAAAGCTAAGAATTATAGCTTTTTGAACATTAATGCAAACATTGTATTTCTTGAAACTTGGAACATGCATTATTTTGGATATATTCATCATCCTTATTTTCAATGACCCTAATTTATTTGCATTAGTGGCAACTATATGCAGTGAGGTCATAAGTTATCATATTAGCTACCTGTCAAAACATGTGTACTGTAGTGTTATAAAACAGCGATCTGCCCTGTGCTACTGGTATACGCCACTATCGTTGCGTCTCCTCTGAGATCTTCTAATCTGTGTATGAGTCAGACAGAAAGAAGAGTGACAATCATTGACCCAGAGAAAGAAACCTCAGGAAGAACCTGGATTCAGACCCAATATAGTGGGTGTGTGTGTGTGTGTGTGTGTGTGTGTGTGTGCGTGTGTGTGTGTGTGTGTGTGTGTGTGTGTGTGTGTGTGTGTGTGTGTGTGTGTGTGTGTGTGTGTGTGTGTGTGTGTGTGTGTGTGTGTGTGTGTGTGTGAAGCTTACTTGATGACTCCATCCTCCATATAGATGTCTGCATAAAAGGACTGGTCATCGTTCACAATACGACCACCTTTAATCAGAAGCCTCTCGCTCTGAGGAAACATAAAACACAGAGAGAGAAAGAGAATGAGGATTAGTGTTGTTCATATGTCTATGTGGTGTTTTTAATATGCTTTAAGACAAACCATGTGTAAGTTCATAAGTCGACAGCATTGCTGAGTATTTCCTCCTTAAAACTGCAGTGAACCAAAGACAGTCTCAAAAACACGGTTTGAAATCGCTGGTGTTTCTGACGTCACAAACGACCTTGTAACCAATCAGATCAACGTGTGATCGTCAACCAGTGGATCTCTGAGCTGAGTGAGCGAGTGAGTGGAGGCGGGGCTCATTTGCATATTCATAGAACAGCGTATACTAAATGAGGGTGTCGAGTTACATTCAAGATATTTTAAGACATGAAGAAATTTTCAAGGAAAAATATGTCATTTTGGTGATCAAAGATGAGTTTTAAGGGATGAAAATTTTTGACTAAAGAGGGACTTTAAAACTTAAGATTATCAAAACTTTCTTCCACAGCTTGTTTTGTTCAAGCTAATTTAAAGTCCTTAATTCCCTGCTATATATAATTTAGTCACATCTTGAGGTTTTCTGGGTGCTGTGTTGTTCATTGCTCCATCCATCACATCAACTTAGGGTCAAAATCACCAGGGCGACATTTTTCTGAGTAATCAGTTCATAAACAGGATGCCACTGGTGTCACTTCAGTACTCAAAAACAACGTAAGCTTGAACAGGGAACAGTCTGATCATTATTTTGACAAAGAAAACTTGACAGGAACTATTTGGTGTCCAGAAACCATGACAGAGAACCAACAAGAATTTTGAAAGCACTATAAATCATGTTAAAGGATGCCTTAAGTGTTCAGAGGCCCAGTTTACAGCTGGTATTAAGATGCGTTTTGGTGGATCGAATCACTAGTAGACGAGGGAGACACATTCCCGTTTACATCTGGTGTTTTAATCCATCTCTTTTGTCCATTTTCAACCTGATTTCTTCAAGGGGAGGGTTCTTCAATCTAATAAATGAAATAAATTTGCGCAATTTACATATGATGGCGCAAGCCACAAGACCAGGCGAACGCTGTGAGTGTGTGTTAGAAATCAGGAATGCTGAGAGAACATTGTGTTTGGTACGTTTTCTCTTCAAACCAGACTTGTGTCTTCAGCTGATAAAGTTTAAACCCCGTCTGGCTAGATCTCTATAATGTTCACTCATTATTCAGTAGGCGGAGAGAAGACGGTCTTTTAGTGGCTGTTTGAACACATTCGGTCACATGAGCGTTTACACTACGACAGCAATCCGGCCGAATGTGTTTTCAACTCCCTCTGGAAGTGGTGAAAGTGGACGAGCTCAAAACATTTTAGACCCGTTTACACTTGTGTTTAGAGTCGTCCACTTGTGATCCGATCGACCAAAACGCATCTTAACACCAGCTGTAAACATGGATCTGTATAGTGATCAAATTAAGCAATAATGCTGTATCGTGAATAAGTCACAGCTGAAGGGCGTTATTCTTATAGTGACTTATTCACGATACATCAATAGCCTATCGTACCTTATTGCTTTTATTAAACGGTTACCACACAATACACATATTAATGCCAAAAAATATGTATCAATGCAACTTTCATGAAGTAAAATCACTAAAAGCCTTCCTTCCGCTGCAAGAAATAGTCCCTGACCGTGAACAGCAACAGAAGTTAGATAACTACGCCATTAGATGTCGACAAAGACTGCCTTTATGAGTGAGTCAGTCAGTACCAAAGACTTTTATATCGAAAGGACTGAAACTCTTTGTGAACACGGAGAAGTTGAACACAACTGACAAATGACTAGCGTGTCAGGGAACGGGAAAGTCCCTTAACTGTTAAAGGGGTCATGAACTGAGAATTAAAATTTTCCTTGATGATCTTTTGACAGTTAAAGGGATACCGGTACTCCACTTTTTTTGGAAATAGGCTCATTTTACAACTCCTCCAGAGTTGAACTGTTGAGTTTTACCGTTTTTGAATCCATTCAGCCGATCTCCGGTTCTGGCGGTACCACTTTTAGCATAGCTTAGCATACATCATTGAAAATGTAGTCTCAGCCTCAGACGTCACGCCCACGGAACGTTGGCTAAACGTCTGATGCATATGGTACACTTAACTGGAAACACTTCAGCAATGTCGAAGTCGTCATCTGATTGGTTGAATTTTATCGGATTTCCGGGGGGCGCGAGTGTCGCGTTTATTTTCGGTCCGCCGGGAAACAAAGCGCAGACGTGTGATTGCGGAAGAAAAACTGTTGTGTTTACATGAGTGACAATGAGCATTTATCAAGATCAGCTGAACGTAGGATTCTCAAAAGTATGCGAGGTTCACGGCATAGACTCTTGAAGTTTTCTTCTCCTTCTTTGATTTTCTATGCTGACTGACTTGTTGCACGCCGGTCTGTTGTTGTGGGGACATTTCCACGCACCACCGAAACGTGACGCTGAACGAAACGAACTGTAATTGGTTGTTTGACATGCCGGTCAAACGGCCTTATGGGCGGGCCTTGGCCAAAGAAAGCTGCTATGAATTCCAGACCTTCAGCCGTCAGTCTGAAGGTCTGGCTACGCGAGACTATTGAAAATGTAAAGTTGCGATTTTCTAGGCTGATATGGCTAGGAACTATACTCTCATTCCTGCGTAATAATCAAGAAACTTTACTGCCATACCATGAGTGCAGCAGGCGCAGGCACTTAGTCCCGGTCACGTTGGAAGTTACCGAGCTGGGGACTATTTTCAGGCGCTGCGTCATATCATTACGCCTGCTGCTCTCATGGTACGGCAGTGAAGTTTCTTGATTATTACGCAGGAATGAGAGTATAGTTCCTAGCCATATCAGCCTAGAAAAATGCAACTTTACATTTTCCGTCGGTCTTAGTGCACGATGTAACTACAGAAGAGTCAAGTTTTAAATAGGAAAAATATCGAAACACTTTGGTCATTTTTTTTTTAGAAATGGTAATGGTCTTGTCTACTTCAATGATGTATGCTAAGCTATGCTAAAAGTGGTACCGCCAGAACCGGAGATCGGCTGAATGGATTCAAAAACGGTAAAACTCAACAGTTTAACTCTGGGGGAGTTGTAAAACAAGCCTATTTCCAAAAAAAGTGGAGTATCCCTTTAAGAGGTCGTTATACTATAAAAAAATATCCTGTAAGTTTCAAAACTCAAAACTTCCTTGTTATTCCATAAACAGCTTTTATTGAAACCAAGGCTAGAAATCAACAGGATCTAAAAAGTGGAGACGCATGACGTCACAGAGCAGCAAAAGCCCGCCTTTGCAGAAGAAGATCAACGCCTACGTCTACATCACCGCGTCTTTGGCGCCGCCCACTGGCTCATGAGAACGAGAAAAGATCGACACAGGATCAATAACATTACCTTCCAAAGGATCCTAACAGTGGTGATTTCTTTAAGACTGCAAGGGAAGCTCAGCTTCCCCTATAATGTCAAAAAATGAATGGTCGAATGTGTACTATTGTGTTAACATTTTATTGACTAAAAATGCGTTAGAACACGGTCATCTCGAAGACGAGTTCATTCAGAATCAGCTACATATAGCAGGTCGGCTGACTCGATCTCCTTCTGATACATTCCCGTAGCGTCACAGTGCATTTCCTATGGCATTTCCCTGTTGAAGCTCAGCGTCCATTGACTTCAATGAGGCTGCTTTGAACAGTTTTTTTCAGTGCTTCGAAACTAGACGGTCATTGGCTAAATGCTGCGATTATGTCCCGCCCACGGACGCCGGGTGTCTCTGGGGTGAATAGGGAAGTGGGCTGGCCTGGAGTCCGGGCGTCTGCGTGTTGATTGGAGGACTGCATCTCCTTTTGATTGACAGCGATTTCGCACAATAAAAAGTCGTTGACGCCGAAGCAATTCGAGATTTCGAGCTCAGTCTCATCGGGGATTTTGCAAGTGTACTCGAAAGACGAACTGCTGTAACATATTTCTTGGTATTTGCAATTTTCATCATACATTTCACAGTGTAACCTAATTCCCACATTTCCTCCGTCGATGTCAGGTGCCTTGTTACATGTGCGCGCGTGGTGTTTGAATCACGGCACATCTGTCTAGTTTAGTTTCGGTTTTGTGTCGGGATTCGGACATGCGTGCTCTGCGTGTTTGTTTTCTGTTGTGAGTGCACAGGATGAGCTTATGGTCGCTCTCGTGCATAACGTTCTGTCTTGTCGCGTTCGCGTGCGGTTTCGTGTTCGCTCTGTTCAGTGTAGGGATGCACGATATAGGATTTTGGCCGATATTCGATATGCCGATATTTTCAAACTAATTTTGCCCGATGCCGATACCGATAGCGATATATTTGTATTTTTTTAAGTGCAAAAAAAGCTTATTAAAGCTTCTATTAATGTTCTCAGTCAAGAGCAGTGAGTGATTTCCTCTGTGTTTTGTTGTTTTATTAACATTAACGGGATAGTTCTCCCAAAAATTTAAATTGTCATAATTTACTCTCTCAAGTTTCTTTCTTCTGTTGAAATTATAAAAGTTATTTGGAAGAATGTGGCTAACCAAACAGTTGCTGTACTCCAGTGACTATATTTAAGCACAAGAAAGAAATGAATCCAGGTTTGAAACAACATTAGATAGACAGAATTTTTATTTCTGGGTGCAGTATCTCTTTAAAGACAAGCGGCAGAATATTATTACTGTCTCTTTAAGAACTGCACGCGACGCGTCTAATATACACGCATTTGACAAGCAGATTTTCTCTGTTTGCTTTCACTTTAGACATAACCAACTTTGTTTATGTAAACCTTGTGTGTATTTGACAGTATCAGCGCAATAAGACTGGAAAGATTAGTCCAGTATGCAGGCGCTGTGACGGCTTTAGTTCCTGTGAGCGTCGGGTGTAACGCGCTCAGAAAAGCGGATGTTAGAACAGCGCATCAGCACGTGAATGACATGTTTACCTAGCAAGACTTTGACGCACATGCAAACAATGAACTTTTGTGAATTGCGGTGTCCCGTGAGTGTAACTCTA